CGAATACGAATGACAGGTGTTAATTTGAATGATAAAAATTACGCTTCGACAAGTGAATATTAATTTGAATGCTAGTTGAGCAGTTTCTAAATTGAATGACAGATCTATGAAACCCTTCGACCAAAATCCTAAATTAAATACAAAAACTGGAAAATTGAATGATAATTGGCATGATGGCAAAGCCGATCTGCGCTAACTTAAATGCAAAGTAAATGAATTCGAATGACAAACACGCGAATTTGGCCTGGAAATCCTATATTAATGTCGTATAGGGTTTTAACTATTTGAGTTGTAGACTACTCACAGCAAGGGCGCCTATTAGTTCTTGATGACATGTGTGTACAGACAGATATCGAGATGTGATTGATCCAGAGCTCATCACGTGATATCGATTGCGAGGATCATAATTGTTATATTTTCCTGGCCGGTCACTTTCGATATATTATCCAGCTGGTGAAATGAATATATTTTTAATCAATGCATTTCGCCCTCTAGAGGACTGTTTGTCACCAATTACACCAATTACACCAATACCGAGTGTCATTTTTTTAGGCAATATTTTTTTTCTCAATTTTTTTCCTTGTTTCCTTGTAAATATTTTTTATAAGAATTTGTTTAAAGAATTTATTTTTCTTCTCGAATTATCTCAAAATTGTTATTTGTTATATTTTTTTCTTCACACTTTTTTCTATTTTTCGTTTGTCCTCGAGAAAAAAATGTCCCCCCCCCCCTTAATTTTTAAACCAAGGCTATCTAATATAATTACATACATTGACTGGCAGGGGGTCTATAACATTCTTCGGACGTGAAGGATGTTATATTTTCCCTTGGGAAGATATAGCCACTTGGGAAATATAACTCCCTTCAGCGGTCCAAAGAATGTTATATTACACCTCATGCCAGTCAATATCTGTATAGTGTTTGACTGTTTGTAATTAGGTTTTTACATAATATGCGTATCAATCAAAAATGATTATTTACGTCTGGGGATCGGGACCGACCTTTTAATGTTATAACGTTACCATGCGAAAACCGTTACTCAGTTTCGAATTGGGGTCCGCCGGATTTCTGTAGGCGAAGACAGAGAGCGGACCATTGACGTGACCATCAAGCTGGATTAGACTTCGCTCAAGACATCACGTATTTCACTGAAATTTCTCTTCCCCCCCCCTTTTTTTTTCCTTTCCCCCTTTTCTTTCTTTTCTCTCTTTTCCTTTATTTTCTTTTATTTTCCTTTTTTTCCCTCTCCTTTCTCTTTTTCTTTTTTCTCTTTCTTTTTTCTTTCCTTTCTTTTATTTCTTTTCCTTTCCTCACACGAAGAATCAAAAGTATTTTGAATTGATGCAAAACTCATATCATTGCGAAGGGGAAGCCTTACTGATCAAATACAACAACTCTCCTCTTCAAAATGTGTTTGGGGCCCGCAGTAATCAACTCTAAAAAATGTTAGTTTCGAGATCCAGATTTTATGCCTTCAGCGGTCCTTTGTAAAGCGTCAATATTTGTGACGTCACACACGGGACATGGCTGGCTAGCTGCAGACTCCGGTAGGCGGCCGGTACTGAGCTGTTTGTCCAGTGTGTGACGTCACTATTCAGAGCTCGCTACGCTCGTGTGTTTGACTTACGTTCAGGGGCGTTCGGGGGTCGCAGAAGGGTCTTGAAAAATTGCATTTTACGCCTTTCTATGATATCTAGCGCTTAGAGACTTCGGTGGTAAGCGCTTTATAAGCAACGTTTTCTTTTATTATTATTATTATTATTATCTATATGATTTCTCAGCAAATTATTCGTGTTTTTCTAATTGTCAGTTGTAGTGAATTTTTCTTTGTGTAGCTCCTTTAATTTTTCTTTCCCTCTCATTTTCCCCTCTCCCTTTTCTCATTTTGCCCGACGGCAGCGCAATTTTACCGACAAAATCTTGATAGGTGGGGGTGTCGCATATATATATTTAAACCGTCTTTGGTTGCACCCTCAACATACTCACACACACGCGAGCGCGCGCGCAAACACACACAACAGTCTACTAGGTTCCCTTGCTGGGAGTAGTCTACAACTCAAACAGTTCCGACTCTATGTACTTGCGACTTACAAGGGTCTGTAGCTGCAAACTAGTGAAGGACTTTGGGGAAAACCCGCTGTCCATATCAGAGCATAGTCTATTGATATGGACAATGGCGGGTTTTCCCAAAGTCCTTCTGCGCAATACGTGAAGCAAATGCTCTATAAAGTCATGTGTGCATATTCTTTTTTGGAAACACATTCAGATCTATTATATTCTGCTACGACAAGAAAGAGATCTATACTTTGTGTCGCTCTTTTAAATTGTATTCCTCATTTCGATTAAATACGACCGCCCTTCAAGTTTCATTTTATAGTGTAATTATTCTTGTACCTGTAAGTTGAGGAAAACAGTGATCGATTAGATTTATCACGAAGCAGAAGCATCACCATGTCACAAGGCAGAAAGAAGAATAATCGTAAAACTAAAAAATTCATAGAATCGGAAGTCACTGGAGTAGTAAAGCGGTACATTGACACAGGCGGCTATGGGTTCATAACGGAGGATAATAGATATAGGGATGTATTTTTTCACATCTCTGCTGTTTCAAAGAATATTCGACGACGGGGTGACCCAATACGAGTTGGAGATGAGGTGATATATGATTTGTATCAGGGTCCGAAGGGAAACAGGGCAGAATCGGTTCGCATCTTGAATCAGGATGTGGACTCGGATGATACTGACTCTCTTTACCGTAGAAAAGAATCTGGAATTGGTGTAGGAAACGGCGGAGGAAAAGCGGACAGTCGAAGGCAACGAGGACGAGGACGAGGACAACGTAGTGGTGGAAGAGGTGGCCACCGTCGAGGAGGAAGTGTTGGGCGTGGACATGAACGAAGAGACAGTGATGATTACGAGAGTGATGATTCATCAAGTTCGCATATCAGATCGTCCAATGGTGCACCCTGGAGAACGCGAAGCAGCAGTCGAGGGAGGAAGCAAACATATCAAGAAGGACAAACAGGTGTCAAAGAAAATAGTCCTGAGTTCAAATTCTTTTGCAAGTCATGTCATGATTACAGCAGCAAGAAGGAGAACGAACCAGCGAATGTAAACGTGAAAACAGAGAGTGCCAGTCAATCTTTTCCAGATTTTGACACTAAGCGGACGGCATTCCAGACCAATTGGAATGGATCTGAATTCACAGATCCGCAGTCTAGTTTCTCGTTTCAAAGGACACAGCGGGGTAGCACTGGTAAGGAGTCAAATCCACAAACAACTACAGGTGCAACCGGAAAACCTTATACTTTTTTCGATCACTCAAAAACTTCAAGTGATCCTAAGAAAGGAGCTGATATCAACAAGAATCCCCTTTACACTGGAGCTTCATTCCCGCGAAATGGTGCGTCGTCTCAGGGAGGTAGCAGGGGAACTGCTACCAACACCAATAAGTCGGATACTGAGGGAAAAAATCCTGACGCGATACCGAAACCAAAACCTGCTCCACGTACATATTTCCCTTTTGATACCAAGAAAGGAGATGATATCCGCAAGAATCCTTCCAACGGTGACTCCTCTTATCGCACAGGTGTCTCGTCGGAAGGAAGTAGCAAGGGGACACAGAACACCACCTACACCACCTATAATACCGGTGCGAACAAAACTGACACTGATCCAAACCTGCAGCGAGATCAACGCTCAACGACGTACAGCTATTCATACGCTGATGGATCGAACCGATTCGGTGTTCCGGTGAAGAACACAAGCAGGGAGTCTTTCGGCTCTGGGGCCAGTAAGCAGCAGGTGCCCACCAGAAGTGCTCCAGGTGATGGTTGGAGTGCCAAACCTGCTGGCGATTCGAAAGAGGAAACAAAAGGCGGCGGAACCGAGGATGACCACGTCAAATCAACGAAAGGAACCACTGCCGATGAGCTACTCAATAATTATGCCAAGCAACAGAGGAAAGGAACTACTGCGTCCAAGGAGAGCCAATCTACAGGTGAGCATTCGAAATACCAAGGAAGGAAATTCCGAATTCCTGACCCTTGATTTATAATGTTAGATGCTTTTGGTCGCATTCACATTTTACATACTTTCTTAACTAGAACTTTATCTCCACAAGTTATGTATCGAGTTTTAGGGACAGCCCTTGATATTCTTCACAGTGACATGAACAGAATGAGGTAACTCACATGTTATGTTCAGTTCTATCAGAACTCGACCTTCTCTTTAAATGCATCTCCTTTCCTGTAACTTTTATGGAATAAGATGACTTTTACTTTTCCCTTATTGTTGCTTGTTGCTAGGTTCTGGTAATATGTCTAAGGCAGACACTCAGAAGAACCCTTCAACAACTCTCTCACGTTTTAGCAGGGCGAGAGGCAACACGTTTTTCAGGTTGGCTCGAAATTCAAGATTTGACAGAGTTAAATCTATATGTTACAAGGTATTTGTTAACTTCTATATCATTTTGTCTCATCTTTTTTATAACAAACATGTTCGGGTGCATTAATGTAACATTTACAATTTTATACATTTACATTGATACACTCTTTCGATACAGTATATAAAAGAAAACGGAAAAAAGAAAACAAAACGAAAGTTAGATGTTTAAAGCATAATAAATGTGAATTAAATTAACATGATGTAGAAGGGCTACAGCATTAGCATATTACGTTCAATGTGCTTGCAGCCCTCAGATTAACTAAAATACAAATAGAAAGGGGAATGAGTAACTTGCTATTAAGGAAGATAGAAAAGGGGAAAGAACGCTGGTTTTTAGATACAAAAATTGTAACACCTGTCGATTTAATCATTTAGTTAATAATGTCACAGTATAAAACTAATTTAGTTAGCACATAAAAGCCCATTTTCATTGCAAACCATTTTGATAGTTTAAATGTCATAGATAATAAGATATAGTAGGACTTTCCTACGTTTTCTTAATGAAATAATTCATATTTTCAAAGATAAGGTGTTCAAAATGATCCTTACAGTGATACAGTTCGAAGGACCATAACACTTGACATCAATAACGAACGACTACCTCAGATCTATGACGGATATCTTGTATTAAAAATTCTGCAAGGGTTCATCAGTTCTTTCAATAATTCCATATGATTTTTTTTTTCTTGTTTTTTTTTCTCCAGAGTGCCCTTGGATGTTACAAGAAGGCCCACAACTGGGCGTCTAGGGACGAGGATTTGGTATCAGCGGCGAAAAACATGGCAACAACGTCTTCGAGACTAGCTACGCTTAAGATGGCAACCGGATGTGTTTCTGACCAAAAGGTAAATAAATTTGACTTTGTTACATAATCTGTAATATTGTACCCCTTTGATTTTTCATTTTTCATTTTACATACAACGTATTCATTCGTGGCCTCATGTTCTGCTATTCAATTAAAGACCTTCACCACTACTGGGCCAGAAGGGATTAGACCACACAGAGAGCCATCGAGGTCACTGTGACAGGTGGCTACTTCATTAACTCAGCTCTCATTTATCATAAGAAAAAGAGGATCATGGGGGACCAACAGGCACCGATTGGGGAAGTTTTCTATATAGAGGGAGCAAGTAGCTACAAGTATGGCACTGTGCCTTTAAACACCAGAAATTCAAAAATGTGTAATTCATTCAATCATAGGGGGTCATAAACCCACATGTCAGGGAAAATTTTAGTTTGAGGACATTGCGAAATTCATTTTTTTTTTCTTTATCAACAAGCAATGAAAAACGCCATTCCTTTATTCCGTGGTCTGCCAATGTATACTCCAAGCGGAATGAAAACTTGGCCATTTCAGACAAGACATTTGTTTTCTTTTTGATGTTGTTGTTGTCTAGGAGTCGGTCTCGTCAGTGAGACTGGGATATATATATATATATATATATATATATAAATTATATAGGCGTGAAGCTTTCGGCTTGTGAGGCCTTCTTTAGGTTCTGATAAAATTGTAAAGTACAGCTACGTCTCACGTTCCTAGACCGTTTTCTTCACGCCTAAATTTTCTGGAACACCCGTTGTCATGTCAGAGTTGAGAATTCTCGCACTTATATATATATATATATATATATATATATATATACGTGTATTATGTTTCTTACACATCAGTTACATGTATTGTTTCTAAATTCTATATCCATCTCACATTTGTGTAAAATCTTCTGTTTAGAGCCACAATGGCATTGATCCACAATGACTTTGACATACAGACGACGTACATTATGTAACCCTTATTCCGTCATAATCATTGGGACGTATTAACCCTGCAATGTTGATAAAAAAAACTTTTATATACCTTTTTTGAGTATTATCTACTATTTCCTTTGTTATTGATTACGATTGTTAATTAAGTGATATTGAAACAATAATGTATTTCTCCTCTATGAAACTCGTAAAAACTAGGGTTTTTACGTAAGTCCTAAGGATACCGCTGCAAAATACATGCATACGTGGGTCCAGACATTGAAAGGGGCAATGGCGTTCTTGGAAGGCACCAATATTTACTAGGTCGAAGAAATGATAAATGAGAATCAACATATAGGTGGAGAGTGTAGAAAGGGTTTCTTTCATCTTCTTTTCAAGTTACATCTCTCGCCTTCCATTTCTTTACCTCTCGCGTTTTCTTTTGTTCACCATTCGCTAGAGGAGGTTGGGAGAGGGGGGGGGGGTGGTTTCAATGCTCCATGTATCTCCAGCACAGACTAAAACCAATGCGTTCTCTTTACCCTCTTTCAATGTTTGAGACAGGTGATTCACGAATACTTCAAAGATGCTCTGCAGTACTTCGGCAAAGCTTTTCCCAAAAGAAACTGCAAAGGACAAGCCTGGGCCAAACATCTGGAGAAGTCAATTCAGGATTGCCTACATGAAATCAGAACTTGGATCGAACCTAAGGATGAAGCCGGTATTATATACATTATTGATATTTTTCAGTATACATATTGTATTGAATCAAAATTTACAATATCAACAGAAAGGAGGTAAATAAGGATAACGGAAAACAAAGATCAGTGGCGTGTTTAGGAATTAATAAGTAATGGCTCGTTCAGATATATATAAATCAATAAAAAGCCGAATCATTTCTGAACGAGGTCCAAGGGGTTCGGAAATTTACTCACTGCATACATGCGCTTAATGAGGGCCTAAGTTCCCGGGGCATATGCTCTCCCGGATAGTCATCTATAATTTGTTTTCCTTCTTCAGTACGAGGTGTGATTTGTGAAAAAGTATCTTTGAAACTGCCCCATAGGTTATCTATTCATCTCTTTTTTTAATTGCCATGGTTTTCGTTAATTATATTGTTCATACTTCGTGTTACTTCCCCTTCTTTGTTGTCATAATGTACTTTATGTGATGAATGTATGTAATATTAATATTTCTGATATACTCAGGTGTTTTAGACACCAGAATGAAGATGTGAGATAGTCTTACAACTAAATGTATGACTTGGTAAGAATGTTTTGTCCCGTTCTCCTCTCAGATCGGATAGTTGCTCTGACTGAATACTTGGAATACCTACCTTCATGTGGCGCCAAAGTTGAGGGGTATCTTTACATTGCAACCATCTATTTCAAGAAAGGCAAAGAAGTCTTGAAGTTTGACGAATATGAAAACTGCCAAGGGTAATTAGAAATAACGTCTTTTGTTTCCAATATTCCGCAAAATTTCTTTCTCTTACAGGGAATGTTTACTTGTAATTTCATTCTTTAACAAATGGTTGTTGTCAATTTAATGAAATGTTATTATAGAAACCTTGACTAATTGCCATAAGTTTATGCATTTTTTATTGAATGAAGTAATTTTTGATGTAATTTATTTTGATTCATCAGGATAACTAAGAAGAATAGATAGAATATTGCTTCAAAACTGTCTCTTAAAATTTCATCATGATCATTCAGGTACTTGAAGGATTGTCGCGTTCCTTTGGGGGAGGCAGAGAGGATGTGTGATAATGTAGACCCAATCATTCGTTTGGATGTCACTGCGTTGAAGAAGAATGTAGAGTACCACGAAGGCCTTGTCAGGAGGTCAATAGCCAGAGCAAGAGGTGATTATGACGGCGACGACGACGATGATGATGATGATGATAAAAATGATAATTATAACAATCACAACAATGTTATGAAGCGCATTTTCCTTGTACAGCTGCTCCTGTTATTACTACTATTTCTAGATAGTAGGCCGCATTTTAATTCGTGAGTATTAGGCCCATACTAAATAAAATAAGGCATGTATAATTAGAACATATTCAGAGCAACTGGAAACAGTTACGAAAGATAATAAAGCAAATAAATGAATTTAAAAAATGAAATTGAAACAACAAAAGCGGTGATAAAATAGTTTACATCAATGAATGTGTAGAGTAAAATCATATAATAATTATGTCTCTCTCTCTCTCTCTCTCGCATGTTTATGTTTGAAGATGCAGAAGCGCGTCAACAACGGGAACTAGCGGAGGCTAAGGAGAAGGAGATTGCGATAGACCAACTGAAGGCTGATATAAAAACACTAGACCTTCTCTTGAAGTTATCCATCGGAGACTTCGTCAAGCAAGTCTATCAATTGTGGCCTCCTAAGGGTACTAAGGAAACGAAGCCTTCCTTGACGTCATCAACATCGTCGTCGTCGTCGCAGAAGAAGCTACTGATCCGAGCCATCAGCGATTATCACCCGGACAAGGTTGATAAGAGCGTCCATGGTATCAAATGGCAGTTACTCTCATGTGAAATTACCAAATGCCTGAGCATGCGATTAGCCAAAATTAAGTAACAGAGCAACGGCGGCATGATCTTCGAGAAATCAACTATATATAGGCCTACAAGCTTTGCTTCTTAAATAGGTTCTCGATATTTCACATTATTTTTCTGTTATTGTCTATCATTGTTTTTTTTTTTATTATGCAGTCTCTTTTTAAATCTTATGTATGAACGACCAATAAAACAAAACAAACAAGTTCATTGCCTGTTTGTTTGTCCTATAGAAATCATGTTCAGATTATGTAAAACGTCATTATAATGTTCTTATATGTTAATAGGTGATGGACAAGGCTGGATTTGGGGGGGGGGGGGGCTGAGGTTAATTTTTCGAAATTCCTTGCTATCGTGTTTCATACATTATATCTTCCTTGACAGGGCAGAATATCAAATTAGACTCCACTATCAGATATATCCAAATTACACGAAACTTTGTTCCTGTCACCTACTTTTCGTTCCGTGTTCCTTTCAACATATTATTATTTCTTTTGTTTTGTTAGAATAGAATATTGACTGTGACATGTTATCGTTCGTTTTACGCCCATGCTTACATACGAGCATGGAACGCCCTCGACCAGCAGTCTGTATTAGCCCCATCTGTTAAGAACTTTGGAAACACGCTTTAGCATGTACCACCTGCCATACATGTTACCGACATGCGAAATACCGCCCTGCTGACTCCAATTTCAGAAGATTCAGAAGAATGATATATATTTATAAAACACCAACATTTGAGGTATAGAGGAATTAGATTTCCATGATTTATCGGGGCTTAACTTCAAGGAACCATATTAACGAAATTCTGTATTATTGTACTGATTTGCCAAAAGGATGTAGAGGATGGTGATCTAGGAGGAGCAATTGACATTCAGCTAAAAGATGATCTTTTTTTTTTTGTCATGGGCCGGTTATAACAATGTTCATTTTCTGTTGTGGGATGGACAGGGGCTGTCCTTATAGATCATATACTCTAATCTTAACAACTGAATCATTCATACTCCTTGTAAATTTGATCTCTTATACTCAAGAATGAAAGGTGGGCTGGTTGAATTAGGGCCTTTGTTAAATACTTATAGATTCAAGCTTTAAATATGTGACATTCTCAACAAACATAAATCGGGGCAAATCAATTTTTTACATACTGTTAAAAAATTGCAAAACTTAGTAAGGGTATGATGTATGACAGAAAAGTACTTGTGTGTAATTCTGTATACATGTACACTGTATGAGAATAATGCAATGTGTGAATAAAATTATTTTGTATTCACGTGGTGCACTTTCTAATAACTACTTTTTTTGCAATTGGCCTTAAAATAGAAGGTATACAAGATGATATAAACATTTAATGAAAATTGAAGTATCCAGTATTGTGATTTCAATATAACTATCCGAACTATTCTGTTGGAAAAGTGCAGGAGACCGCAATCATAAGCAAAGCTTGACAAGGATGGCGGCCTCAAAAAAAAAAAATCTTAAGGTAAAACTTAAAATGAAAAAGTGTTTAAACGATGTTTGTGTATGAGTTGGTGAGTGTGTTGTGCAAGTGTATATATATATTGATGATTAATCGCTTCTTGACTTGTAAAGGTAAAGGAATGAAATTAATTCATGATCATATGTGACATTGTAAACGGATTAGCACCAAACTATTTACAAAACCTTGTTATGCCTTATACACCAGCTCGTGGTCTAAGATCATCACACCAGCATCTTCTTAAGAGCCTTTGGTAAAAGGGTTTTTTCATCTGCGGCACCTTGTCTTGTAATAATTTACCATTTAATTTGAGAATCATAACTTCCTTGATCCTGTTTACAGTTAGCAAAAAGGCCGGGCCAGGCCGGGCCGAGCGGCCGCGGCCCGGTCTAGCACTGTAAACGCGCAAAAGGCCAAATGCGAGGCCAAACTGGCCGCGCATTTGGCCCTGCTCTGGAGGTAATCTCGGCCCATAGAGATATATAACTACTTTTATCTCTATGTCTCGGCCGCGGCTCGGCCCGGCCTTTTCTCATTGTAAACGCACGCAGGGCCAAATGCGCGGCCAACTGTTACCCCGGAAGTGAAAGTTCGCCGTGAATAGGAAATTGGGGGAAAGATTCACTGCAAATCGCGCGCGACCGGATCTGCACCACTGATTCTGCACTGTGACCCCCCGGCGCCCCCCCCAAATAATCGTTTGTTTACATGCAGAGCGCCACTCTGACAAAATATTGAAAGGTTACAATTTAGGCCGCGGCCGAGCCTGCCACTGTAAACGCACAAAATTGCGGGACCGAGTAGGCATGGCTCGTCCCTGGCCCTTTTCGCACTGTATAAAGGGGGTCTAAGAGACCTGAAACTTTCTTATTTTTTCTATTTTTCTTGTGCGCCTCGGAATAGCATTGTCTAGATAGACGGCGCTATACAAATGCCTATTATTATTATTTATCATGCCTGCTAGAGTCACTTCTGGAATATAAAACTCGTGCTGTTGCAATAAAAATTAACTTACAATGTGATATTGTAAAACAATAGCGGATCCAGAATCATCGGGAATTGAGGGTGAAGGGGCCAAAGATTTTCATGTTTTGCCCCGACGTACTTGTTTTTGATTGTTTGTTTTACTGGTTACTTTTTTTAAATTGTAAAATCCGGAACCTCTAACTACCTGACTCGCTTGGCCGGAAGGAAGAGGATGAGCGGCCTTTTCGACCCCTGGATCCCCAAGGATTCGACTATGTGGTCGAACATTACCAATATTGTAACAATGTTTACGGTAGTAGTGAGGGATATTACAATAACTACTCTTTCTTCGTTTGTGGATCTCTTTGGAAGATTGACATTGCATCTTGCATTCTTGCTAGTATAACAACAAAGGATTCCGTTAATTAAGAATGGCAGCTATAGATTGTCGGTCAATACCATCACGTGAAATCAGGCGCGCCGGAAGCAGTTTGTGATTGGGGGGGGGGGCAAACATGCCAGGGGGCTCACCTTCCAGGGGCAGTGGCGTAATGAGCAAAAACGTTTGGAAGGGGGAGAAGAGAAGAAAAATCTGCATCACCACCACTCTTACATGTTACATGTAGGCCCCGCGGAACGTTTTTCAAAGTGGAGTATTAACGATCAGGTAGAGCGTAGCGAGCGTAAATTGGCAGTGGGATCCAGGGCCTGAGCCCCGGCAGGGGATCAAGGGGCTGAGCCCCCGGAAGCTCAGGGTTTTTAGGCATTAAATTACGGTCAGATAAGCATATTTAGATACCTTATTTGTGACACTGGCAGGTCACTAATTGGCGGGGGGGGGGGGGGGAGGTCCAAGGTGCAGAGCCCCCGGAATCTCAGGGTTTTAGGTATTAAATTACGGTCAGATGAGCATCCAGGCCTCCCTCCCCCTTAGGGCCCTTGGTGGGGTCCTGGGGGTAGAGCCCCCGGAAGCTCAGGTATTTTAGGTATTTAATAACGGTCAGATAAGCATCCAGGGGACCGCCTTAGGGCCCTTGGTGGGGTCCAGGGGTGGAGCCCCATAAGCTCAGGGGTTTAAATTATTTAATTACGGTTAGATGAGCATATTTTGATACCTCATTAATTTTGTGGCATTAGCAGGTCACTTATTTTTTCTCTCTCTCTTTCTTTCTTTTTCTCTGTAACATACTTTTTTCAAAAAGTGAGGGGGGCTTGAGCCCCTGACAGGAAGGCTTCTAATTATGCATATTTTTCGCCTGACTGTAAATTTGGAAATTTCTACTTTTCCAACAATTATAAACGCATACAAATTTACAAAAAAATTGAGAAAAATATATCAGAAAATCATGTCATTTAAGCAACATTTGTTAATCACTGGTATCGAATTAGAAATACCCCTCCCCCATCAGTACGCCAGCATTCATGGATTCATGTCTTCTCACCCCCATAATAGAAAAAAAAACATACACGCTTTCTCACAATATTTTCACTACCCTAATAATATATGAAGACTAAGAATGTGGTAGGGTATTCTGCAAATAAGCCGAATTTGTTGCTTTGTAACAAAGTGAATTCGGTAAAAATCATTTTGTAACAAAATGAATTCGGTACAAATTTTGTAACAAAATGAGTTCGGCACAAATCATTTTGTTACACAAGTTTGTAACAAAATATAATTTTATTACAAAATAGTTGTTTTTAGTTCATTTTGTTACAAAATAATATAGTAATAATGACTGCTTTGACGCTCACGGGGAGGTTACAATCGAGCTATTGCCCGAGGATTGTCGAGGGCAATAGCTTGATTGTAACCTCCCCGAGAGCGTATAAAATGTCTCGAAAATTAAAGCAGTCATTATTACTTTTATAATACTGAAAAAGAGTCAACTTATGACACCACCTTGGCTTTTCTCTAGTTTATCTGCACGGTTTCTTTTTGTGAGTGTATCTTTGAGAGTTAGACTAGATCTAGATCTAGACTCTAAGTATGTAGCATTTCCGCCCCTAATTCCTCACAAGTTTCTTGTTTAAGCATTGCTGAAAAACACTTAAAAAGCTCTCGTCGAATTGGAAAATTTTTCATGCTTAATTTATGATGTCGACATTGTTAGAATTGGGGAAATGACGCTGAAGTCCGAATCTAATAGTAAACATTGGCCTAGATCTATGTTGTCCAGCTCCGAATTTGGAAGTTTGTTTACGCTATCGAGGTCTCTAGTTGCAGGTAGCCTACTTCTAGACCTAAATAATCTCCATATTTTTATGGAGAATTTCACGTACCCTTTTGGTGTTCTTGCTGTCAGCAGAATTAATAATGTCTTGCAATTGATCATCATCAAGACGTTGAAATCTAGAAAGAGTTTCTTCAGCTATTTTTGTCTTGTTTGGGAACTATAAGTAGAATCTAGGCCGGATTCGCAGGTACGGTCATCTTAGGCAAAAAAACCCACAAGTGAACGCAAAGCGTAGCATCCCCTAGCAAGGTACTAATGGCCTATATACATCAGAGCAAGTTACCTCCATTGGACTATACTATTATATCACTAGGCAAGGAAGTTAACCACATTTTCACATATATAATTGGGTGTTTTTGCATATTTAATGAGCTATGACCTTTCACCTTTGACCTACATACTCAGAAATCGAACTTAGGCTGTACATGTATTTTGATACCATTTACCTTCATATTAAATTACATTAAAATTCGTCAAAAAAAATTACGTAAGTTATCGAATGGAAACCAGGTTCGCATATTTAATGAGCTATGACCTTTGACCTATATACTCCGAAATTGAACTTAGGCTGTGTTTTGATACCATGAACCTTTATATTAAATTTCATTAAAATCTGTCAAACAATACTAAAGTTATCGATCGGAAACCAGATGTGTATTTTTCGCATATTTAATGAGCTATGACCTTTGACCTTTGACCTACATATTCCAAAATCGAACTTAGCCTGTTTTTTTATATCGTGTACCTTCATATTAAATTTCATTAAAATCCGTCAAACATTAATGAAGTCAGTATCGATCGGAACCAGAGTATTTTTCGCATATTTAATGAGCTATGACCTTTGACCTTTGACCTACATATTCCAAAATCGAACTTAGCCTGTTTTTTGATATCATGTACCTTCATATTAAATTTCATTAAAATCCGTCAAACATTACTGAAGTTATCGATCGGAAACCAAATTTGTTACGGACGCACGGACGGAAGGACGGAAGGAAGGACGGACGGCAGCGTTACTATATCCCCTCGCCGACGAAGTCGGCGAGGGGATACAAAATCATTTGGTTGTCTTCGACCGCCCGCTCGTCATTTTCGGGCCGCTCGTATGTTTTTTTTTTGGTTTTGTTTTTGTTTTTTTTCTTTTTTTTTCTTCATTTTTTGTTGTTGTAATAACGTTTTTGGGGCGAGCAATACCATTTTATGCATTTGCAAGGATAAAAATGTCAAAATGCCGTTCATTAAAATCAAATTGAGTGTGCCAATTGCTAAGATTTTGAGCCAATCTTTTATACAAGGAAAAGTTCCAACTCAATGGAAAACTGCAGATATATGTCCGATTCCAAAATCTCAACCTCCTCATATTAATAATCTACGCCCATTTGCCTTGACTTCATATTTTTCAAAAGTAGCCGAATCCTTCATAGCTAAATGGTTATTAGAAGATATTGATAAATATATTGACCCTCACCAATTTGGCAATAGACCTGGTCTGTCTACTACACATTATATTGTCAGTCTTTTACATAGTACATATACAAATGTAGAAAACAGAAAATCTGTGTCCATAGTTATTTGTACAGATTTAAGAAAGGTTTTTCTGATTAGAAAAATGATTCACATGGATATAAGACTTTGAATAATGCCAGTTTTTTTAGAATCTCGTAAACAAAATTAAAAATATAAGTGTTTTATCAAATGTTGAAATATACATGTCTTGGGCCAATTCTCTTTTTAATTATAGGTAACGATTTATGTGAGCAACTTCCTATACCGTAATTCAAATATGTCGACGACCTCTCGTTAGTACAATGTCGGAAATCAACAGATGTCTCGCATTTACAATCAGTACTTAATTCTGTGCAAGCTTGGTCTATTGTGAATACTATGTCACTAAGTCCTTCAAAGTATTTACTCTCCAAGTTAGTTTCATGAAAAATCCACCAGACTCATAAGTTCTCTTTATTAGCAACGACGAGGTTGATTTTATTTTTTTTTATTCTGAATTCATATAAGAACAAAGTTTTTTCGATAACAATAGTAATATATAATACAATTAGTATTTTTCTGACAAAGAATAATGAATAAGCAAATATATATAACAATAGTTACTTTCAAAAACGAAATGATGAAATGTCATAAATACTAAATTTCATCAAATATTATTAAAACATTTGCGGAAGAGGAACTGGCATTTTAAGCAGATTGCTTGAAATAAGACGGCCCAGACAAAACTCATGAAATAGATTAACATATTTATTAAGCAGAATGGATAGGTAATTGAAAAAACAAATTATATGGATGATGTTATTGACAACGCAGATGAGGATGATGGTGAGGATGATGATGAGGATGATGATGATGATGATGATGATGACGATGATGATGATGATGATGATGATGATGATTCGAAATAAACATAAACAGTATTAATCTACAAAGGTTATATACGACCCAAATTAGAATATTGCACCCCAGTTCATAGTGGTCTTACATCTGAACAAAAGGACAGTCTCGAACAAATACAACGGAGAGTTCGCAAAATTATTTTAGGTTCTAATTTTATGTCATATTCACATGCATGTCAATATGCAATTTAAGTACGCTTAAGGAAAAAAGACTAGTACTGTGTAGAAAATTTGCAAAATCTTTAGCAATTCACCCGGCATGCCAGAACTGGCGACCCTCCAAAAAAGAAATTAGAATATCATTACGTCAGGTTTTTACATATAATTTTAAATGCAAAAACAAACGCTTCAAGAACAGCCCTTAACCATATTTGATAAATCGAATGAACTATATAACTACACGTTAAATTCAACCACAGTACTGGTCTACTCCTCATTTAGCCGAGTTGTATTAGCGAGGCCATAACTCGCTAATACAACTCGACTAAGTGGGAGCCCTGCTCTACATTTTGCCACTCTTAATGTTTTTAATGTAATTTAAAATATGTATTATTAACAATCTTTTTTACGTGTCAATATTTTAAAATGCGATTTGTATATGCATTGACCACCATAACGTGTCAACATGTAAACATGAATAATGCAGCTTTGAAATTGCATAATAAACCATTTTTGAATTGAATTGAAGACAATGGCTGTTGACGATATCGATTTTGGCCGCTTTCAACTCGTAAATTCCGAGCTGAATAAAACATTGTCGCAGACTTTCTTGTACGATTTCACGATCATCCTCAGGAATCCCATAGAAGAGTAGGTTAGAACGCCTGTATAAATCTCGATGAGAGTTATCAAGTCATTGAGGTAAATGATCTGGGCTTGGAGATCGTGCTTGAGTTCCGGTATTTTTTTCTCTCTAGATCAGCCACCTTTTCGGAGTTAAATGTCACTGAAGCTTCTAGGTCATTAATCTTAAAAGGACGTGACACGTAGCAGTCCACTATGTCGAAGTGCTAATCTAAATGCTTGCGCCGGGCCAGGCCTGGCGTCAGTGTTTAGGGTCCAAGACCTATTAAGAATCACAGCTTGTATATTGAATTGATTTCATGAAAGTCTAGCCGCCATTGTCCTGTTACTTTATTATATCATGTCGTTTGTTCAGGCATTTGGTAATTTCACTTGAGAGTAACTGCCACTTGATATCATGGACGTTCTTGTCCGGGTGATAGTGCCTGATGGCTCGGACCAAAAGCTTCTTCAACGACGACGACGATGTTGACGACGACAATGAAGGCTGTGTTTCCTTAGTACCCTGAGGAGGCCATAATTGATAGACTTGCTTGACGAAATCTCCGATGGATAATTTCGAGAGAAGATCCAGTTGTTTTTTATCAGTCTTCAGTTGGTCCATCGCAATCTCCTTCTCCTTAGCCTCCGCTAGTTCCCGTTGTTGACGCGCTTGTGCATCTTTAAACATAAACATGAGAGAGAGGCATACATGTATGATAAGATTTTACTTCATATTCCTTGATGTAAACTTTTTCATCACCGTTTTTATTGTTTCAGTTTTAAGTTTTTTATTTGTTTTTATTTGCTGTACTTTCTTTCGTATGCATGCCTTATTTTATTTAGTATTCGATTAATACTCACCGACTACTCTTTAGAAATAGTAGTAATAACAGTAGCAGCAGCACATGAAAATGCGTTATAACATTGTTGTTATTGTTATTATTACTATTATTATTATTGTTATTATTGTCATCATCACCATTATCACCTCTTGCTCTGGCTATAGACTTCTTGACAAGGCCTCCATGGTACTCTACATTCTTCTTCAACGCAGTGACATCCAAACGAATGATTGAGTCTACATTATCACACATCTTCTCTGCCTCCCCCAAAGGAACGCGACAGTCCTTCAAGTACCTGAATGATCATGATGAAATTTTGATGGACATGTTTGGAGCAATATTCTATCTATTCTTCTTAGTTAACCTGATGAATCAAAATAATATTACATTCAACATTGCGTCATTCATTAAAAAATTAAATACACCCATGCCAATTAGTCAATGTTGCTATAATTACATTTTATTGAATTGAAAACAAACATTTGTTAAAGAATTAAATTTATCAGTAATCTTACAGTCTCTGCAGGAGAAAAAATATCCTGGAATATTATAAACAAAAGACATGATATTTTTAATTACTCTTGGCAGTTTTCATATTCGTCAAACTTCAAGGCTTCTTTGCCTTTCTTGAAATAGATGGTTGCAATATAAATATATCCCTCAACTTTGGCGCCACAGGAAGGTAGGTATCCCAAGTATTCAGTCAGAGCATCTATCCGATCTGAGAGGAGAACGGAAAAGAAATAATTCTTATCAAGTCATTTATTTATTTACTTATTTAGGTTAACCAGATCAGTTGTAAGACTGTCTTACATCTTGATTCTGGTGTCTAAAGTATACTAAAACACCTGAGTATATATCAGAAATGTTAATATTACATACATTCATCACATAAAGTACATTTTGATAACAAACAAGAGGAAGCGTGGTAAAACTTAGTATGACTATGAAAAATATAATGGATAACAATGATGGCAATTGAAGAAAAAAAAAGATGAATAAATTACCTATGGAGCAGTTCCAGTGAGACAGTAAGGACTTTTAGATTTGCACAACGACAACGTGGATTGCTACGATCGACGTCCTTTTAATGCACTGCCTTGAATGGACCTCGCACGTGTCAGTCCACTCAAATCTAAAAGTCCCTTTTATCACAAATCTATACCTCATACCTCATACTGAAACAAATGATTATCATTATTCTGGGAGAGCATATGCCCCGGGAACTCAGGCCCTAACGTGCTTGTATGGAGTGAGTACATTCCAATCGCCTTTGACCTCGTTCAGATATATGACTGACGCGTCAAAACCGGGGCAGCTTTTTATGATGACGTGGTGTATGTGCATCACAGTTCTGTATCTTATAACACAGAGCTCAACGAATACAAGAAAGTCCTTGCGCGCAGGTGCCATTTATTTTCGCATTAAAAATAAACTGCCGCATTTTTGTGCGTCATATCTGAACGAGCCATTACTTATCAATTCCTAACACGCCACTGATCTTTGTTTTCCCTTATCCTTATTTCCCTCCTTTCTGTTTATATTGTAAATTTTGATTTAATATTATATGTAATTTAATACAAAATATAAACAAATGTATATAATACCATCTTCATCCTTAAGTTCGATCCAAGTTCTGATTTCATGTAGGCACTCCTGAATTGACTTCTCCAGATGTTTGGCCCATTTTTCTCCTTTGCAGTTTCTTTTGGGGTAAGCTTTGCCGAAGTACTGCAGAGCATCTTTGAAGTATTCGTGAATCACCTGTTTCAAACATTGAAAGAGGGTAAAGAGAACGCATTGGTGTTAGTCTGTGCTGGAGCTACATGGAGCATGGGAACCATCCCCCATCCCACCCTCCTCTAGCGAATGGTGAACAAAGGAAAACGAGAGAGTGAAAGCAATGGAAGGGGAGAGATGTAACTTGAAAAGAAGATGAAAGAAATCCTTCCTATACACCCTCCACCTCATTATGACTGTTGATTATCATTTCTTCGATCTAGAAAATATTGGTGCTTTCTAAGAATGGCATTGCCCCTTCAATGTGCATGTATTTTGCAGCAGTATCGTTAAAGGTAATGCAAAGGTTGGGAAAATTTTGAATAATGGATGGATAGTGATATATTTGGATGCCCCCGTGGATGTATTAAAAAGCACTAGAAAATTAGCCCCTAAAACACTTCTGCTTTCGAGAAATTGACTAATCAAAATTTACCGGTGCACCCGGTAAATTTCAAATATTTCTAAACAAGGCCATTCCATGGTAGCTGCGACCATGAAAATCTCAGAATATGCAGTTCTGATATACAAATTCCAAACTGGAATAGCAAATCGGTCGATTGTAGTCAAGAAACATTGTTTTACAGCTAAAGTAATATCAGCTTCGAGAGGGAGCTATACAACATAAAGAGTTTATTATTTATAATTTCATCACTTTAGACTCGATTTCAACCGCGACAACGATCAATGAATATTGTAAAATCGCATATGCTTCCAATATGTTCATTTAAAGCAAATTCATGACCCCATACCAAAACTTTGTATTACGTATTTATACATAGGATTTTCACGAGTTTAATTTTTCACGAGTTTAATAGCGGAGAAATAAATTTATGTTGGTATATTATTTCAATATCAATTTATTAACACATGACTATTGACAAAGGAAGTAATAGTATAATCAAATGTAAGATACTACCAATAGAAATCATGTTCCATTACTAACAATGCAGGGCTGCAGGCGCGAATCTACGGGGGGGTTAGGGGGTTTAAACCCCCCCCCCCCCCCCCTGGGCGGCCCCACAAAAAAAACCAAAAAAAAAAAGAACGCACGCTGGAGAGAAACCCTTTCAAGTGCAAATATTGTGAGAAGATATTCAACTCATCTGGTAACTTAACCAAACACATGATAACTCTGGATATAACTGTGTATTAAACTGTTACTTGATTTAAAAAGACGTTATCATGCACTGCTTTTTATGGTCTCCATTGTGTTAATAGATGCCAGGAAAACATCAATTACGGGGTTCAAATAAACACCAAAAAAAAAATCGGGTCGCAGCTTCGCGGCTCGTGGACGATGCTCCGCATCGTCATTATTTTGGTCAACCCCCCCCCCCCCTTAGCAAAAAGCTAGATCTGCCCCTGGGGCTAATACGTCACATTATTTATGATGAAATACGTGATACACAATGTACAACGATTGTTAACGAACAAGTTTAACATATCGTCTGTTGAAGTCACAAGGGTGTTAACTCTATGTCAAAGTAATATGGATCAATGCCATTTTAGATCAAAACAGACGATGTGAAATCAATGGGAGATGGATCATGGATATATAGAATTTAGAACATAGTACATGTGACTGATGTGTAAGAAACATAATATATATATATTTATATTCCAGTCTCACTGACGAGACCGACTCATAGACAACAACAACATAAAAACCGAGGAATAAGGGACTGGCCCTTTTTTTTTTTTTGACAAAGAAAAGAGTGCATTTCGCAAAGACCTCTAACTGATATATTCCCTGACGTGTCGGTTTTTTGTCCCTCTATGATGAAATCAATCACACATTTTTTAATTGTGGTGATTAATTGAAAAGCTGAACAAGAGGACGGCATGAAAACGTTGTATGTAAAATGGAAAATAAAATCAGAGGGGTACATTATTATGGATTATGTAACAGAATCAGATTTATATACCTTTTGGTAAGAAGCACATTCAGTTGCCATCTTAAGCGTTGCTAGTCTCCAACACGTTGTTGCCGCGTTTTCTGCCGCTGATACCAAATCCTCGTCCCTAGACGCCCAGTTGTAGGCCTTCTTGTAACATGCAAGGGCACTCTGGAAGAAAAAAAAACACAAGGAAAAAAAAATAATGTAGAATTATTAAAAGAACTGATGAACTCGTTGCATATTTTCGACTTCAAAAACATCCGTCATAGATCTGAGGTAGTCGTTCGTTATTGATGTCGAGTGTTATGGTCCTTCAAACTTTACCAACGTAAGGATCATTTTGAATTCCGGGGTTTTTCCTTTGATAAATGCTGAGCAAAAGCATGATATACTGATTCGTAACTCAACACCTTATCTTTGAAAATATGAATTCATTGTAATAGGTCCTTCTATATCTTAGTATCTATCACATTTAAATTATCAAAATGGGTTGCAATGAGAATGAAATTAAAGAGCTTTTATGCTGTGACGTCATTAACTAAATGATTATATCGACAGGTTTTACTATTTTCATTTATTTTCCTCAATAGCAAATTACTCATTTCTATTCTATTTCTATTTTAGTTAATCTGAGGGCTGCAAGCACATTGAACGTTATGCTAATGATGTAGCCCTGCTACATTATGTTAATTTAATTCACATTGATTATGCTTAAAGCATCTAACTTTTTTTTTTTTTTTTTTAATTTTCTTTAATGTACTGTATATTGGAAAAGGGTATTCATGTAAATGTTTACAAATGTAAATGTCACATTAATGCACCTGAATATGTATGTTCGAAAAAAGATAGACAACTGATATAGATATCAATAAATACCTTGTAACTTATAGATTTGACCATGTCAAATCTTTGGCCTCGAGCCAACCTGAAAAACGCGTTGCCTCTCGCCCTGCTAAAACTTGAGAGAGTGGTTGAAGGGTTCTTCTCAGTGTCTGCTTTAAACATATTACCAGAACCTAGCAAATGAATGAAAAGGAAAACCATCTTATTCTTTAATAGTTACAGGAAAGGAGAAGCATTCAAAGAGAAGGTCGAGTTCTGAATAGAACTGAATAACATGTGAGTTATCTCAATCTATTCGTGTCACTGTGAAGAATATCAAGGACTGTTCCTAAAACTTGGTACAAAACTTATGGAGATAAGAGTTAATAAAGTTCTAGTCAAGAAAGTATGCACAATGTGAATGTAACCAAAAGCATCTAACATTAGAATCGCCAGCAGGTTTGGCATTCCCACCATCACCACGAACACTTCTGGTGGGCATCTGCTGCTTACGGACACCAGAGCCGAAAGCAGGCGCGGATCCAGGATTTCTTAGGGGAGGGGGCCCAACTTTTTTTTTTTTTTGCTCCCGAAAATTTGAAAATCGCGCCGGCCGAAAAGTCGCTCAGTGGGGGGGGGGGGGGGTACAGAGCCCATTTTTTTTTTTTTTTTTTTTTTTTTTTTTTTTTTTTTTTTTGCTCTCGAAAATTTGAAAAACGCGCCGGCCAAAAATTCGCTCAGTGGGGGGGGGGGGGGGGGGGGGGGGGGGGGGGGGGGGGGGGGGGGGGGGGGGGGGGGGACTTTTTTTTTTTTTTGGTCCTCAAAAAAATTTCAATTTGCACCCCCCCCTTGAGCGCCAGGGGGGGGGCCCAACCCCCAAAAATCGTAAAAATCACGTGATTTTACATGATTTTTTTCTCAAGGGGGGGGGCCCGGGCCCCCCGGGCCCCCCCCCTGGATCCGCCACTGGCCGAAAGACTCCCTGCTGGTGTTCTTCATCGGAACACCGAAACGGTTCGATCCATCAGCGTATGAATAGCTATACGTCGTTGATCGTCGATCTGACTGCAGGTTTGGATAAGTGTCAGAGTTGTTCGCACCGGTATTACATTTGGTGTAGGTGGTGTTCTGTGTCCCCTTGCTACTTCCTTCCGACAAAACACCTGTGCGATAAGGGGAGTCAACGTGGAAAGGATTCTTGCGGATATCATCTCCTTTCTTGGTATCAAAAGGGGAATATGTACGTGGAGCAGGTTTTGGTTTGGGTATCGCGTCAGGATTTTTTCCCTCAGTATCTGACTTATTGGTGTTGGTATCAGTTCCCCTACTACCTCCCTGAGACGACGCACCATTTCGCGGGAATGAAGCTCCAGTGCCAAAGGGATTCTTGTTGATATCAGCTCCTTTCTTAGGATCACTTGAAGTTTTTGATTGATCGAAAAAAGAATAAGGTTTTCCGGTTGCGCCTGTAGTTGTTTGTGGATTTGACTCCGTACCAGTGCTTCCCCGTTGTGTTCTTTGAACGAGAAACTAGACTGCGGATATGTGAATTCAGATCCATTCCGATTGGTCTGGAATGCCGTCCGCTTATTAGTGTTAAAAACTGGAACAAATTTACTGGCACTCTGCGTTTTCACGTTTACATTTGCTGTATCGTTCTCCTCCTTGCTGCTGTAATCATGACATGACTTGCAAAAGAATTTGAACTCAGGACTATTTTCTTTGACACCTGTTCAGTTGTCCTTGTTGATATGTTTGCTTCCTCCCTCGACTGCTGCTTCGTGTTCTCCAGGTTGAACCATTGGACGATCTGATATGCGATCTTGATAAATCATCACTCTCGTAATCATCACTGTCAGTATCATCCGAGTCAGAAATGTCCACATCCTGATTCAAAATGCGAACCGATTCTGCCCTGTATCCTTTCGGGGCTAGATACAAATTATATATCACCTCATCTCCAACTCGTATTGGGTCACTCCGTCGTCGACAGAGATGTGGAAAAATACATCCCTATATATCAAGCAACTATCATATAGCGTGAACACTCAGCAAGTGATACAGTAAAATGGGAAATGTATGTTGACAGCACAGTGCTTTAAAGGCCCGGTCACACATAGACGACGCACGGTGGACGCACGGCCCGCGCATTGGAAATTTGCAACTTTGGCCAGTGCGTTGTCGTTCGCTAGGCGTGCGTCATCATTCGTTACTTGTTCGTCGAGCGCGCTAGACCAACGCTATGCATCCGACGTCATTCGCTGTGTGCGTCGGGATTTTTTGAGCATGCTCAAAAATGTGCGCGGAGCTCGACGCATGCATGAAAACGCGAAAAGGACGCCAGACATACGCAGAGCACACGCTGTGTATTCATTGTGAGTTCGGCGGCCGACGTCTAGTTAACGCCTAGTGCACACCTAGCGCATACCTAGCGCTTTTCAAACGCATGTCTAGCGAACATGCAGCGAATACGAGCGTGCTGAACGCGTGCTGACCGTGTCTCTAGCGCACCCAACGTTCTTCTTGCGTGTCCCTAGCGTATACCTGGCGTGTACGTAGTGCAGTGGCGTTTGGGGATGTCGGGTTAATTTTCTTGGGGAGCCATCTTAAAGAACTTAGATGCACACTCGTCGTTGCGCTATTAAGGAAGATTTGCACGACGAGAACGTAAACTGCTATTTGTGTGACGTCCTTTCAAGGCAATGTTACGTCCTTTTCAGGCACTACCAGGCAGTGCCAGTGCCTTGAAAGGACGTCGCATTGCCTTAAAAGAATGTCACACGTGGTAGTCCACGTTCTCGTCGTGCAAATCTAAAAGTCCCTAGAGTTTGAGCTGATATTAAAGATAAACTTGAGTTCTGGTAAAAAAAAAGAAAATGAATTCTCACAGAATCTAACGAAACTTACACTGAATGTTCAAGATTACAAATAAAATCATGTGCCAAACAATTTTGGAAGAAAATGTATACTGGCTGAGTAATGAGCATAGAAAGATAAGGAAATCAGGGTAGTACTAGCCCGACACCATGTGTGTTGTCCCATGTACATCTTTCTGTGTAAGTGATTGTTACTTTACCAAGACTCTGCCAAATTTATGATGATTTTGATGACTCCAGAACCTTGATCAACTATGATCAACTTTTCTGATCCATTCTACACCTTTTCTTTCACAATGCAATCGCATTACCAGAACTCAAGTTTATCTTTAACATCTTTCTTTTTAACTGCTAAATAGCCAATGTAAATAGGTTAGCAATTGTTTTTTTTCGGGAATAAGATAACACACACATATTGGCTTTTGACTCACATTCATTATTTCAGCCAGAAATTGGTACAAGAGGATTTATACAATATCTTTAAAAAAAATCTGCTGCTCAGTTGTCGGGGGGGTGGGGTGGGTAAGCGGACACTTTTTTTTTTTTTTTTGTCTCGAAATTTGAAAATTTGACATTTTGTTCCGTTAGGGGGGGGGGTAAGGTAACCTTTTTTACGTCAGCCATTGGCATATATTTTTTTTTTTTTTTTTTAATTAAAAAAAATATATATATCAAAAGGGGGGGGTTTCACAAAAAACATACACATAACATACACATAAAAAAAACTCAAGTGGGGGGTTTAAACCCAACCCCCCCCCCCCCCCCCCCCCTGCGTACGCGCCTGACTCACCTGTAGATTGGCTCTCCTTGGACGCAGTAGTTCCTTTCCTCTGTTGCTTGGCATAATTGGGTAGCTCATCTGCAGTAGTTTCTTTCGTTGACTTGACGTGGTCATCATTGGTTCCGCCGCCTTTCGTTCGCTCTTTCGAATCGCCAGCAAGTTTGGCACCCCCGCCATCACCAGAAGAACTTCTGGTGGGCATCTGCTGCTTACGGACCCCAGAGCCGAAAGACTCCCTACTGGTGTTCTTCATCGGAGCACTGAAAATATTCGATCCTTTAGGATATGAATAGTTGTACATGGTTGAGCGTCGATCTGGTTGCAGGTTTGGATTAGTGTCAGAGTTGTTCGCACCGGTATTACTTTTGGTGTGGGTGGTGTTCGGATTTTTCCCCTCAGTATCTGACTTATTATTTTTCGCGTTTACATTAGTTGTAACGTTTTCCCTCTTGGGGCTGTTTTCATTTTCATTGGTATCATCCGAGTCAGAACCTTCCACATCCTGACTAAAAATCTGAACCGATTCTGCCCTGAATCCCTCCGTAGCTCGATACAAATCATATATCACCTCATCTCCAACTCGTATTGGGTCACCCCGTCGCAGACTATCTTTTGAAACGGCAGATATGAGGAATAATACATCTCTACGTGTAATATCCTCCGTTATAATCCCAAAGCCGCCTGTGTCATTATACAGGTTTACTACTCCAGAGACAGCCGATTCTATGAATTTTTCAGAATCGCGATTACTCTTCTTTCTGCCTTGTGACATGGTGATGTTTCTGCTTCAAGATAAATCTAATAAATCCCTGTTTTCCTCAACCTATGCAGATAAAGAATAATATCACTATACAGCTTGAAGACCGCCGGGCCGTATTTCATCAAAATGAGGAATACAATGTAAAAGATTGACAAACAAGTATAGATCTCTTTCTTGTCGTAGCAGAATTGATCTGAATGCGTTTCCAAAAAAGAAATATACAAAAATGACTTATAGAGCATTTGCTTCACATAGTGCGCAAAACCCGCTATTGTCCATATCAAATTACTGTAGACTATGTTATGTACTCTGATATATAAGGACAGCGGGTTTTCCCAAAGTCAACCACTAGTTTGCAGCTACAGACTCTTGTAAGTCGTAACTACATATTCGAGTTGTAGACTACTCAAAGCAAGGTCACCTAACTTTGGCACCTACCTACTAGAAGGCTGTTGTGCGTGCGCACACCTACTTAAGTTTGTTTTTAAATATAAGTGAATAACATGTACAATTGACTTATAAATTATGTTTATGTACTTAAAAGGTATAGACCAGTTTTGGAAACGCCCCCCTCTCGAAAAATGAAATGGAAGCTCTTATTACCAATCATGTGAAAGAATAGGTCTTGACTGATACGTGATGATACAAATTTTGCAGGGAATCTGCCTAACAATGGATATATTTGGTAAATTATCATATCGATCCGACCTGGACAGATATCGCGAATGTATTTCAACATCGAACAATTGGGCATATATTTCTGCTTTTTTGTTGTTGCGAATTTAGGTTGAAGTATTGCCATCTAAACCTCTGAAGTCAATATTTAAACAATATCGAATGGATATTTTGCACCCAAAACCCTTCAAACCGCAATTTTACCACTACCGGTCTATACCTTTAAGTTTGATTTTGTTGCTCAGTTATGTATACTGCAAATGAGGTTTTGTTTAATTATGTTTATGTAAAAGCAATTGATATTGAAAACGATTATTTATTTTTATGTTTTTGTTTGTATAACACATTTGGAGGAATAAAACAAAGTTACAAAAAAATATGTAAAAAGTGTATGTGAGTGCGTAATTGGGTTTTCTCGCTATTGAAATATTGGCAACAGTAGTGAGGAATGATGAGGTCATTAAAGGTGTTACTTGAGGAATTGAAGTCAAACGAGTTGTATATGCAGATGATATGACAATTTGTTGGAAAAAAGAATCTGTAGAAAGAGTAAAGGAGATTTTGATGTTGTTTAAGAAAATACGTGGTTTACGGGTTAATGCGGAAAAAAATAATATAAAATTGGGGAAAAACAGAAATCAATCAAAAAGACTTCCCTTTGGGAAATTGGTTAAAGAAATTAAGATTTTGGGAGTGTATTTTGCGTTAGAGGTCATAATAAGAGGATAGTTGAATTATAAGGAGGTTTTAAGCAAGATTAAAAGACTTCTCGGATGGTGGAAACAGAGGGACCACACGGTGTTTTCTTTTTTTAAATAAAAAATATATGCATTATGTAAATTGAATTACGTTTTTGCTTCACTAGTGGTTCCAAAGTGGGTCATATCGGAAATACAGAAAATATGTTTTGAATTTATTTGGAATGGGAAAGATCGATGTTGTATCAAGGTTATGATGACGGGGGGTTACGAATTACTAATTTTGACTCGTTTGTAAAAACTCAATGTGTAATGTGGGTAAAAAGACTATTTTACGGAGAAAAATCAATGTGATGGAAACTATACTTTGATTTCTGCTTCAAGATGGTAGGAGGTAAATTTATTTTCTTGTGTAACTATGATTCCAAGTTATTAAGTTTCAAAGTACCTAAGTTCTATTTAGAAACGATAAAAGCATGGGAAGAGTTAGAAGGTTGTAGGAATTTTGAAGAAAGGAGAATCCAATTGTTTTTAACAATGATTTTTGATGAGGATTTGTTTAAATGCAATATAATTTAAGTTCAAGATCTATCTATCTATCTAAGTTCTTTCTATAATACAAGTTAATTCATACGTTTACTCTGAAAGAGGAACGTATAGTAAGAAAATGATACGAGACGAAAATACAGTCCATTCCATTCCATTCTGACATTTATTTAAAGAAAATTTAGATATAGTTATATCTAATCAGATAATATCATGTTTATTCTCAATGTAGGGCATTTTCTCTCGGTTGAAAGTTTATGCGAGGGAAACAGTTACAAAACCCTAAGAATTTTATTCTACCAAAATAGAAACGACGTAAATTCATCAACATTTACCCGACAAAAAAAATGTGGATTCTTACAACGCAATATATACCACCAGGGTTTGTTTCACATGTTCGTTTAAAATGTGGACAATATGTGGTATATTAAGACTACCTAAATTGTTAAACAGATATATCATGAAATATATTGATAGTACGGCTAAAGTTGAAATGAACTCAGTTAAAATCATATGAACTTTTAAGTTGCCATTAATGTAGTTCATTCTTTTAAAAAGAGGATTTCTGCCATTCATCTCTGTCCATCCACTGCATTGCGAAATCTTCCTGACTCAATAGGTGGGCTGAGATTTGATATTGCGAAATGGGTCCAAACAAGGTTAACAGCTGTTTGGAGAACTTGGCAATCGGATGTGCATTAGCTGCTAGACAATGCAACATAGGAAGTGGTGTTAAAACCACAGGATATGAACATTGTAACTGAGAACACCGATTTTTTTTTATGTTTAAAAAATCCTCTTTAAAAAAAAATAATCAAGTTACCTACTCGGCGGGAAAAATCAGTTGCTAGACAACATTCATGACAAAAAGTTTGTTATAAACATTTCTACTATTGTTTCTAATTTGGCATGTACAATACTTAGCTGCAGATCGAGGCCATATTCATTTGGAATGCTTTCAACAAATTAGAATGGGTATATGGATCGGAAAGTATTTTCAGAGATACTTAAGCTGTCTTCTTCTCACAACATTTACTTTACCGGTAGTTCAAAATACAAGTAGTTTATTCATTGTTATCATAGTCATCTCAGCGTAAAAAACTACATTTCAATTCAGACAACAAAAAAAGATTAAAATATTAATCAGACTAGACGACCATTGGAACTCTACGAACAGAAAAGTTATTTATATAACTGTGGCATATAGACTTTTTGTTTCAAGAAATGAATGTATAAATTATTATATCTGATAATAAATTATATCTTATTTAAGGAAGAAAAAAACACTGTAAACGTTTTCTTGGTTTTAAACAAATCAAAGATAAACGTATGCCATTATAGCATCAGGCCAAAACGAAAAAAAGCCCAATGGAAATTTAAAAAATTATTTGACCTTTGACCTTTCAATTCATCAACCTACCTGTAGCTCTTGCTTTGCCTGCTTCAGCGAGACATGTATGCTGATGGACATCTTCCTGGAGAACTTCCACCTCAGACATTATGACTGGATCATTTTTACATGTTCTAGCTGCCTCTTGTATTGGGAAGTAGCACTCTTTCATGAACCTGCCAATTGACAATAGCCAAATGCTTTTATCAATTTGTTATTTTTTACTCTGAGGAATTCGAAATTCAATAACTGTCTAATTTTGAATAGTTTGAGGAACATCTATTTTAAGAGGACTGCATGTAGCCATTGTGCCAAGTGCTATTTCAGTACAAAATGTCAACCAAACAAATAGTTGAATATCCTGAAAACAGATGATATCGTCCATTTCATATGAACAGAATGTAACTTTGTTTAAATAATAGGGTGAACTATTCTACTCATCTCAAAGAAGGGTGACCATAGAAACCACTAACATGGTGAGCTCATAATCATGTTCATGTGTGAGGTTTTATTGCAAGAATGAACGATATTTAATAACAGCACTTTAAAACATAGTTATCCTTTATTTAGACTTTTAAAGACTCTATATTAATATATTTTACAACGTATTAAGTTCTTAATGATGCATCGATGTCTGTAAACATGTTATATCTTGGCTCGCACCTCAACCACATATACACTTACCTAAAACATTCTTTATACCGGAGCTCCCCGAGTGCTGTCATTCCTAGTCCAACGAGGTGGGTTGCCAATTCGACGTATTCTTCGGCCTTCCTTTTCTCATCAGGCAGCTGAGCTAAAGTCTCGGTAAGTAAACCCATCTTCTCTTGTTCATTTTCGAAAGACTTATTGATCCACGCAATGGCCTCCTCCCCGCATCTGCGCATGGATGACCGCAGGTGGTCGGTCCAGGCAGCATTCTTGCATGATCTACGCAGAAGTGCCTTGTTGAAGTTTTGGAGGGCATCATTGAAGCAGAGGCGGCGGAGCGACTTCCAAAGTGGGGGGGGGGGGCACCAACAAAAAAGGGCACTTTCTGGAGAAAAAAAGGGCACCTTTAAAGGGAAATCTCAAAGGGAAAATATACAATTTTTTAGACATTGGTATATACACCTATATTGTGATTACATTATCGGGGATGATTTCAATATTTATTTTTATTTATACATCATATAAGATTTTGCATATTATCTTTGCAGTTGAGTGTGATGGTCTACAAATTCATTTGCGAGTGAGCAAAGCGAGCGAGAATTTTTTTAAAGATTTAGAGGTCGCAGTGCAAAAAAATACATCTTATAAAGAGGAATGACCCAATCCTGATGGGGTTATATAAGCACATTCTCATAACGGAAGACTAAAAAGATCTTTGATAGGTTACATAATTATAACATATATAACTACGAGCGAGCGTAGCGAGCGAGCCTTGGGGGAAATTGCTTTTAGTCGCTTTAAATTAGGGGCACGTTTGATGATGAGAGGAAAAGGGGACACTCATCGAAAGGGTTAAGACAGTTATTAGAAAAGAAAAGGAGCACGTGTCAGAGTACAAAGGCTAATTATCAGAGGTGAAAATGGGGCACTTCTTACACCTAAAAAAAGAGGCATGCACCAGGGATGAAAAGGAAATGGGCATTTGTCGATGGAAAAGAGGCGCCCATTAGATTTTGATAGGGGGCATTTATAAGAAGTGAAAATGGGCATTTATGAAAAAGGGATAGGGTCTTTATTAGAAAAGAAATTGGGCACATATCATTGTTAAAAGGGTAATGAGAAGGGGAAGTGGCTCTTATTAAAAGGAAAAAGAGGCACATATTAGAGCATTTATTGGGAAGGAAAAGGGGGACGTGTCAAAATAAAAGGCATTTATAAGAGATGAAAAGAGCACTTATTAGGAGGGGAAGGGGTACTTGTCAAAGTAAAACGAGTATCTCTCAGAATTGAATAGGGTCATTTACAAGGGATGAAAAGGGGCACTTATGAGAATGAAAAGGAACTATTTTCATAGATGAAAAGGAAAAGGGGCATTTATGAGAAGGGAAAAGGGCTCTTCTTTAAATGGGGGCACTTATCATAAGCAAAATGGGCACTTATTAAAAGGGAAATGGGGCACATGTGAAAATATAAGGTGCGCTTATCCAAGTTAAGAAGGGGAAGGGGCACTTTTTACAAAGGAAAAGGGGCACTTTTCAAAATAAAAGGGACACTTTTCCTCTGTAAAAAGGGGCACTTGTCAAAGTAAAAGGGGCACTTTTCCTATGCAAAAAGGGGCACTTTTAGGGTACTTGAAAAAGTGGGAGGGCACTGTGCCCCCCCCCCCCTGCCCCCCCCCCCCGGGAGCGCCGCCTCTGCATTGAAGTAACGTCTGGCAATGACCTTTGAGAAAGTATAGATTGAGGGGGAAATGTGTACGTTTAGACAGTATGAATTAAGATCCCAGTGCCAAAGTGGAAGGATCTTGTCAAAGTAAAACGGTTGCTCCGGTGCAATATGCCCGACCATCTCATCTTTAACACACAAATCATCTAAACAACTTAATATAGAAATATCAGCATAAGAGTACAAGTAAATTTAAGACAGGGGGTGGGCTGAGGCATCTTAACTGAATTTCAACATTCTAAAATTCAAATTTTTCAAGTAAGCGAAGCGATCGAGCTAGAAAAAAAGACAATATATCAGGATTATTTTTTATTTTTTTAACCAGATAGGAAAAGAAAATTGAATATTCAGGTAGCTCGGTACCAAAAATGAAGTTATGGTTGCCAGAATATCGGTACTCTACAAATCCTGGGGAGGGGGGGGGGTGGGGTGGGCTTGCAACTAATCTTGGGCCTTCGTGATTAGGTCCATGATCTTACCTTCTGTAACTTCTGATTCCTGTCTATCGCTGACCCGTGCAGAGAAGCCAACTTCCAGGTTGTCATGGCAATATTCTTGATTGCCGAGACCGCATCATCTTCATTGAGGCTGCAGCTGGAAGCACACTGGTACCACTGTAGAGCAGACTCCAATCGTCCACACTGGACAACGAACCCGAAACCACCCTCCTGAGATGATTTGAAGAAACTATTGCCATATTGCCTCTGCTGTTGCGACAGAGATGTTGCGCTGGTTGCTCGAGTAGCCGGCATTATAGCGGACCGAGAATTGATGGGATCTATATGGACCATACGGACAAGTATTTATGATTTAAACTTTAACAATATAGAGTGACTTATACACTCCAAGATATCTCGTGATCTCACAGGGTCACAAGTCAGAAAATTCTATGTCAAAAAGGGCCCCTGGTGCTCCCCCCCCTCCCCCACTAATGATGATGGAAGTCGGTGCCTTTGTACTTTGCTACCCTTCCGTCTCTCCTGATATAGAAATTGGATCTCCTGAATTGTATAAGCAAATCATAAGAGCTTCTTAATATTTAAATTAATGATTAAACCAAATATATTACGTAAAAACAAGCTTCAAGGAATATATCACAAGGATATGTTATGGAAGGAAGGAAGGAAGGGAGGATGGGATGAATGTCTGGCCGACAGAGGAATATGTCGAGGAAGAGAGATGGGGTGAAGATTATATGGGAAATTAAAATGGGTGCATTATGGTGAAGGGATTGCAATTCAAAAGAATATTATAGCTTCATTATTTTTTATATTTATGACATAGGTCATAGAATATTTATACTTTTTTTTTACACCCCTTAGTTCTGTGTTTACCCCCCCCCCCTCCTCCCCTCCTCTCGCTCTTATATGCGTCATGCCCATCATGTAATCATGTTCCTGGTTAGCGTTATCTTCACTCTTACACTCGAGTATCTATGGTTCAATATAATTTTGAAATTTGTAATCTAATGTAGACAAAAAATGAGAATGATCTTCAATATTTGTTTGGATTTAAATCAATTAAATTTGAATTTGAATTTTTAGAAATTTGTATCGATCATGCGCTGATGCCTGACTGATACATAAAACATATTAAAAGCATATATTGCATGTAAATAGTATAGCTGTTGTATGTGTAGTGTAAAATGCAATCTTTACACTAGTCAGATAGGCAATTCCACACATTAATTTTTAATGGGCTATCTCACAATGGGTGTGTGAACAACAGCTTCACCCACAAAGAAGAGGCGCATGGGCTCGCACCTCGAGGTGATTTAATTCACACATATTACACAACAAAACATAGTTGTAAAATCCATGCACTAGGCCTACTTGAATTCCCACGGTGAAAAGGTCGTTGAATGCTCGAGTGATCAAAAGTGATCAACATAATGACTCACATAAAGTTTTAGAGGGGGCGCTTGGCTCGCACCTCTTCAAATAATTAAATTAATTAGTGAGAATTCAACATAATACGCTCGAACACTTCCCTGTGCTACACCCTCACTGATCTTACGAAGCCGTCCTTTCCTGCGAAGACTTCGCTTGCTCCACCCATCAGCCACTTATTTCTTTGTAGCTCGTCAACGATCAAGGCCATGGGTGTCGATCCCGGGGGGATGGGGGATATACTGTACCCCCCCCCCCCCTAAAAAAAAAAAAAAAAAAAAAAAATATTTCAGGTGGGGGGATGGCCTGTACAATCATCCCCCCCCCCCCCCCCCCAATAATTCACCATCAAAACAAAAACAAAACAAAAAATCAATGATGAGAGCCCGATAAGAGTAGTTAATTGTTATTACTCGCAAGATGACCATCAATATACACATTTTGCTATCTCATTTTCATAATACATAACTATATAAATGGAAAACGAAGTAAATGAGACGACCGTATATGAGACCAGAATAAATTGAATTCTCGCTCATACGGCTTCATCAGGAATTGATGAATTTAGTCAATTTATTTAATCAACAGCATCATGTAAATGCAGTGCGCCAAATGCAAAGCCGCAGCGTTAAAAAGCTACGAGCTTAGTACATGTTAAGCGCGAAGCGCAAAAGTGCAAAAAAATGAAGAGAGTGGGAGTAATGAGAGACAAGAGAGGATACAGGCGCGTAGCCAGGGGGTGGTGGGGGTAGTCGCCCCCCCCCCAAAAAAAAATAGAGAGAAAGAAGAAAGGAAGAGGACGTAGCTAGGAAGAAAAAGGATTTAGCGTCGAGAACGGTACACTGAATCGTCTTCCTTTCTCTAATAATCTAATAAAACGTCAAAGCTCCCGCGCGGGAAGGGGGGGGACTGAATTCAGACAAGGATTAAGAGTCGAGAATGATACAACGATCGTCTTCTTTCTCTAATAATTTAATGAAACGTCAAAGCTTCCACGCCTCGCGCGGGAGGGAACTGAATTCAGACAAGGATTAAGAGTCGAGAATGGTACAACGAACCGTCTTCTCTCTTTAATAATTTAATGAAACGTCAGAGCTTCGCGCGGGAGGGGGGGAACTCCCCCTCCCTGCACCCACCCCCTAGGAGGTGCTCACTACCGCCCCCTAAAATAAAATCCTGCCTATATCCTTGAGAGGATAATAACCCAGGTAGCAAGCGCATGTGGGACCCACGTGGGTCCCATATTCCCTCAAATGTTATCTTTATTGAGGGTGACTTGCAAAACTTGGAAGGGAGGAGGTGCAATCTGCCACACGCCTTTACCTTTTTGTTGCTTTGATGCTTTGATCCATTGCCGGAAATATGTTGGCACCTATCATCCCCCCCCAACCGAGGATACAAATCGACACCCTTGCCATGGTTGTCGATCCCAGGGGGATGGCGGGATATATCCCCCCCCCCCCAATATTTCAGGTGGGGGGGGGGATGGCCTGTACAATCATCCCCCCCCCCCATTAATTCACAATAAAAAAAAATAATAAAGAGAAAAAATAATGATAAGAGCCCGATGAGAGTAGTTATTGGTTATTACCCCTTTGAAAAACAGCTTATAGCTGACAAGGGCAATCCATCCCATGAGTGGAGAATAAATAAATAAATAAAAATTACTCGCAAGATTACCATCAATATACACATTTTGATATCTCATTTGCATAATATATACATATACGAAATAAATGAGACAAGCGTATATGGGGGGATTGCACTCAGACAAGGACACGATACAAAGAATCGTCTTATTTCTCTAATAATTTAATGAAACGTGAGAGCTTCCGCGCTTTAAGCGGGATGGGCGAAAATGAATTCAGACAAGGATTAAGAGTAATAATTTATTGAACCGTCAAGGCTTCCGCGCTTCGCGCGGATGGGGGGGACTGAGTTCAGACAAGTACACGATACAACAAATCGTCTTCTTTCTCTAATAATCTAATGAAACGTCAGAGCTTCCGCGCTATGAGCGGAGGAAGGGAAACTTGATTTAAACATTAAGGACTAAGAGTCGAGAATGGTACATTGCATCGTCTTCTTTCTTTGATAATCTAATGAAACGTCAGAGCTTCCGCGCTTTGCGCGAGAGGGGGGAACTGAATTCAGACAAGAGAATGGTACATCGAATCGTCTTTTTCTTTAATAATCTAATGCATTAATGGGGATTTACTGACGACATAGACACCAACTACGAGTGTGGAACATCCGTGCAATCTATGCCGCACCTATTAAGATGTCCACTCCTAATTGACCAATGCTGCCTGGAAGACCTAGTGGCAGCAAATGAGAAGGCTCTTCAGTGTGCCAAAGCCTGGCAGAGCATTTGGGGACACGAAAGAAGAAAGTGTATATATCCTTTTCTTGAACATGATTTTATTTATTTCTGTTGCTTGATAAATCTTTATAGATATTTATCACAACTATGAAATTTTAGACGGTTACCATTTCTTTCTTTTTTTTTCATTTTTTCATTTTTTAAACTCAGTTATGAGTTCTGAGTTTTTGATCGATCGGGTGGGTGGTACATGTACAACATTACTTATTATAGGCTCTGTATAAGCTTGGCTTGTTAGAACTCTTGTGAGCAGGGGCGTACGCAGGATTTTTTCAAGGGGGGGGGGTTTAAAATCTGGCCCAAAATATTTTGCTCCCGAAAATGTGAAAATCGCGCCGGCCGAAAAGTCGCTCAGTGGGGGGGGGGGGGGGGGGGGGGGGGGGGGGGTAAGCGGACACCTTTTTTTTTTTTTTGGTCTCGAAATTTGAAAATTTGACATTTTTTTTCGTTGGGGGGGGGGGTAAGGTCACTTTACGTTAGCCGTGGGGGGGGGGGTTTGAACCCCCAAAACCCTCCCCCTGCGTACGCCCCTGCTTGTGAGTAATGTGCCGTGGGATTCCATATCCTCAAACTGCTGGCGAACAGAGCAACAAGACCAATCTCTGTAATTATTAGGATCTCTGTCCAATAGTGCCGTGTTTGTGCCATCGAACTGGATCGACCAAATCAATTGATTCATAATATATATATAATATTGTTTCCCGTAACATGAGAGTAATTTGATGAGTTTCATACTATTAATTAAATGCAATGTTAACTGTTATTGTATAATTGTTTTAAACGGGGGCGCGCTACAAGAGTCCTATCTCGCACCCCGGGGCAACGTGTCTGACACGGCCGGTTGTAGCAACTACTCCGAAGATCAAGATACATTAATCTTGACCTAAGGAGACACGAACGAACGAAAAATAATCTAATGAAACGTCAGAGCTTCCGCGCTACGCGAGGAGGAAGGGGCACTTGATTCAAACAAGGATTAAGAGTCGAGAACGTTCCAACGAATCGTCTTCTTTCTCTAATAATTTAATGAAACGTAAAAGCTTCTGCGCTTCGCGGGGGAGGGGGAAACTCCTCCATCCCTGCACCCAACCCCCTAGGTAGCGTGCTTTGCGTTCTCACTACCCCCCCCCCCCCCCCCCAAAAAAAAAAAATGAAATCCTGGCTACGCGCTTGGGGATGGGGTGCAACCTGCCTCTTGGTTGCTTCGATCCATTGCCGAAAATATTTTGGCACCTATCATCCCCCCCCCCAACCACGGATACAAATCGACACCCTTGCTTCGGACCCCGATACAAATCATATATCACCTCATCTCCAACTCGTATTTAGTCACCCCGTCGTCGAATGTTTTTTGAAACAGCAGATATGTGGAAAAATACTTCCCTATATGTATCATCCTCCGTTATGAACCAAAGCCGCCTGTGTCAATGTACCGCTTTACTACTCCAGTGACTTCCGATTCTATGACTGTTTTAGTATTGCGAATACT